CCATCAAAAGTTTACAATGAAATATATATCCAATATCTCACAAAAGAAACCAAATATATCTTTCGGGTAGGACCAAAAAGAGAGTTCCACAGGTAAGGCAACAAAGGGTATAACCAAGATCACGGGCAAGGACAACCCAAAGGCAATCTCCAAACAATAGACATCAAATGAGACTCACGGCCAAACATGGAAAAGGGAGCAAAACGACCCCAAACCGAGCCCCCAAACACGATTTAATTAAGCTCTAAACTAGCTCACGGCTAAGGCCCGGAAAAGGAGCAAAACAGCCACCCAATCCACCTCAAATTAATCCACAAAAAAGCTCACATGTAAAACCAGGGAGGGAGAAAAAACAACCACCAAACTATTTTTCTCAACGAAGCCAACCGACAAAGCCAACCGAGCCCAGCACAAGAGGCAAACCGAAATCAGCAAAAAGGAACAAACCAGCAAAATATTTCAGCCCACATAAAGCACTAAAAGGAGCCCAAACCGAGCCCAAGAACATGGCCAACCGAGCCCAGCAAAAGGGTCAAACCGAAATCAGCAAAAAGGAGCAAACCAGCAAAATATTTCAGCCAACATAAAACACTAAAAGGAGCCCAAACTGAGCCCAAGAACATAGTGCCCCAAATGTAATTTTCCAACTTTGAAAAATGATTTCCAGCCTATTTTCCATAAAGGGGCAACAAGAAAAAGCAAAATGTGAGCCTAAAATGTAATTTCCAACATTTAAAAACAACTCCCAACATATATTTCAACAAGGGGCAGCAAGAGAAGCAAAATGGGAGCCCCAAATGTAATTTCCAGCATGTAAAAATAAACTTCCAGCATATATTTCAACAAGGGAGAGCAAGAGAAGCAAAATAGGAGGCCCAAATGTAATTTCCAACATTTAAAAATAAACTTCCAGCATATAGTTCAACAAGGGGCAGCAAGGGATGCAAAATGGGAGCCCCAAATGTAATTTCCAGCATTTAAAAATAAACTTCTAGCATATATTTCAACAAGGGGCAGCAAAAGAAGCAAAATGTGAGCTCCACATACATTTTTCAGCTCATAAACATAATTTCCAGCAAGTACTTTATCAAGGGACATCAAGGGAAGTAATATATGAGCTCCACATACACTTTTCAGCTCATAAACATAATTTCCAGCAAGTACTTTGATGAGGGGCAGCAAGAGGAACAAAACATAAGCCCCAAATGCATCTTTTCCAATTCACAAAATAATTTTCAACATGCATTTCTTACTTTCAAACATTTCAAGCAACGAAGGCAATATAGGCAGTCCCTAAATATGCTTTTCCATATGAATTTCTAAAAGAGTAAAATGCATCCAAAAGCCACCCAACGATTTCAGATTTTTGCAAATTGAGTATTAACGGTCTCTGAATTTTACAAATTAACCACTAAAAATTCCATATCTTTTTGCAAATCGGACACCAAAGGTACAAGTATTGAACATCCACAAAAGAGTACTTTAAATCTCATAAGAAAGGTGTCCTTGAAAATTTTAGAAAATACAA